GTCTTTTCCAAACACAAATGGAGGTCATTTCCTGCAACTTCAGTTCTACATTTTCTGTACAACTGCAGATGTATAAGGCAGTAGAAAGGTTCAAGATCTGTACTTAATTATCCTCATGTTCAAAAAAATTCTACCCTTAATTTTGAAAAAAATTGGGCATAGGTTCCCCGGATGACCCCTAACCGGGGGCCAACGGTGCTTCCACAAGTTCAACAAGTGAAAAATACATGATACAAAATGTACATGTATTTACTACCTGGAACTTGGAGCAATTTATTCCAAAGATGTTAACTGACATTAATATATTAAAAACTAAACCAAATCCTATTTCTCAAACAAATCACATATTGACACAACTGAACAAATAAAAATGTGATCATGTTTATAAACTCCACTCAAAAACAATTTTTGAGAGACACTCGGGTCACGGTACTAAGCGTGATAATCTCTAATACTAGTATCTCATCTGATTCTCCCAATAGGGTCTTTACAATGACAGCATCCAACCGCACATACATAGAAACAACAATATTACACAATAAACCAATAAATTCGGAAAATTTCTCAGTAATGTTTGAAAATTAAACCTTACTAAAATATAAGTGAATTTTTATTTCAGTTGTAGCCGAAAAAATATTTTTCATGCGTTTAAAGTATCGTTTTAGCACTGTAATATGTACTTATTACATGTATCTATACATATGGATGCTATCTTGACCTTTGACCATTGATATTGTGAAAACAGGTCGGCCATGTTGTCTTTCTCGCCGTCAATTTTCGAGCCGTTTTTTCGAGCAAATTTCAACCGTTTTAAACATTTTACGGCCTCAAAAACTCATATAACGAGGAAAACAAGTTGTAGTTGTTATTTTCATGCGTAACATTTCTTCTGGGGATGGATTATTTTTCCGTCGAGCTGCCGAAAACTTAGCGCCATGCCGCAACCATGCGATCGGGCGCGGCCGGCCGGCGGGAGTTTTACTTTGTATCGGTGAGCTTTCGCGATGTAAACAAAGACAGTCGGAGTTGTTTACATGAAAATTTTGTTGTGAAACGCCAGCGGGGTGTCAGATTTTCTACCAATGACAACGTTTTCTTTGTGGCGTCATGGCGAGATCGACAATTCATCGTCAATTCACAGGATTGTGCCGACAATGGAATTGAATAGCGGCCCGATCCGTGCAATTAGCGCTCGATCCACGCCGCCCGACCGAAGAAAATTGGAATGACGAGCACATTTATCGGGGATAAAATCCCCAATTTTGAAAACCGACCGCTAGCCGCTCGAAATTTTTGGTCGGCCCAAAAAAGGCTAGGGTCGGGGGGTTTTTCATAGGGTCGGTCGGGTAACCGGAAACACAACATTTTTTTTCCTAGGCCTTAGTACACTTTTCTTTTGTACAATTTATTATGTACAGAGATCTTTTTGTCATCCTCAACAGAGATCTATAGCTAGTTGGGTTAAATGCTGACAATAAATAATTTATGAATAATTTTTTTTCCTTTGTGGCTTACACTTGAACCATAAAATGCAATTTCAGGGCGGCAAAACAAAAAAAATTCTGTATGAGGAAATCTGTCTGATATTGACATTTACTACACATTTTCGCCATCATTTCATACTTGAAGCATTTGATTACTTTGAAGTATCCCCAAAACAATGCGAGGCATCTCTTTATTTATGGGTACCACTCCTAAATAGCTAGATCCAGGCAAGGAAGCTCCTTGATTCAGCCTACGATACAAAACATGGAACCGTTTTATGGCCCATCCCATTTTTGCCTCACTTAGTCATAGATGGGACAGGATGATTCAACTATTACATTATTAAAAGACTGACCAGAAAATAGACTTTGGAAATCCAGTTTCGTTACCCTGAAATTGCATTGAACGCCTTTTTAAAAAGGTTCATGCTGCTCAGAACATGAATTTTCAAACAATATATGAAAAACTCTGGATGCAGAACACAGTATATACATGTACATATTCATGTTATGTTTTCAAAATCGCCTGACTAGTTTGCGAGCTCAAAAGGACCTTTTCAGCCAGAATATGATCTTGACCACGGCTAATCCAACGCGACACGGACAGGAAACATTTTCAGTTCGAAAAACTATGTTTCATTCTAGATCTCTGGTGATTTTGAAATTTGTAGATCTTCTCACTAACTCAAGTTCTGTACCTCTGCAGGGTTGGACAAATTTTCAAAATTTTCAAAAATCTATTTGCTCTATTGGCAAGATCAATTTCCCCTGAAATTTCCACTTGCCCGAAAGGATGTCACATCCACAAAACTTTGGGCATGTCCAGGGGCATATAAACTTGCCTGAACAGTATTTTTACTTGCCCTAGGCAAGTGGACTTGCCTAGGGCAAAAAATGACAAAAAATGTACATTTTTGGCTTGGTATGGGGGATCTTTGGATACATGTACATGCCCACAGAACATTATTCATACTTCGTCATATGCACCACTTTAAATTGTGTAAAATTTTTTTGTACCCTAGTCTTAAAACCTAATTACCTGAATAACACTTTTACTGAATAGGTATACATGGGGATTTTAAAACAAACTACATTGACTACAAATTTTCCAAGTTCATGAAACTTACCGAGTGCATGTAAGGAAACAGCAGGAGCATCAGCTTCTTGCCAACATACGTGGTGTCGACTGCAAAGTAGTACTTCAACTTGGAGATGGAGATGAACCTGTCAATCTAGAAAGACAGTTTGGGTTAAGTAGCTTCAGTATATGTGTAGTATAGAAATCTCACTAGCTAGGCCAGCGTGCAAAATACCTGGTTGCCCAGTTGCCCCGGGCAACCAAATTTTACTTGGGGCAACCTATTTTTGAACCTAGGTAGCCCAGTGTGCTACCTGGATTTTAAGAATTACCCCCCCACACACACGAAATCATGCCCACTTGGCTTGCACCACTGTATCCGGCAGATGCTTTTTAATTTTAGGTATTAATGGCTATTACTAGTATCAATTAACTAAAGGCTGTTAGAAATATTGTCAAAGGTAAGTATGTAACATTACTTAATTTGAGGAAAGTAGTAACTTATAGGTGGGGCAACCTAAAATTCTGATGGGCAACCTAGTTTTTGCCGTAGGTGGGCAACCTGGTTCAAAAAAGTATTTTGTACACTGTAGGCCTAGGGGAAAATATGTTTCAGTCCTGAAAAAAACTTAGGGTCGGTAGGTAGGGATTATCTTTTTTTTCTTTTTTTTTTTTAGACTTCAGTGACATCTATATAGGGGCCCAACTTGTACAATACTTTAACAAAGTAAAACTTGCATCAGGATACTCAATTTCAATGTCAATGTCCAAAAGACACCCTGGACGACCCCCTAGCTAAAAGCCTGTTAGTATGACAATAATGTGCTCTTACATGTTTCTCCATCACATCCTTGCCTTGCGTGGCCAGGGAGCTGCCATACTGCATGGCCATGTTGGCCATGGGGTCTGTCAGGATCTGTTGTCCCGCCATCCCTCCGTAGAACGCGCCCCCGCCCTGCGGCTGGTTCTGGTTGTACGCGGGGTCGCCGGGAGAACTGGTGTCGTCAAACAGCGGGGTGGGACCGCCGCCGTAGTCCGGTCTGGGCTGGCGCCGCCTCTGCTCTGCCGCTGGAATTATAAGTCACCATCAAAATCTCATATCATGAACTTCTGTCCCATGTGCAAATGCTGGTCAATCTATATGCTGACTATGCTAAATTCATGGAGGTAGTATAAACGATAAAATTTGAGCAATTCAAGCACCGCAGCCATTATTATGCTCCATGCAAAATGCAGAAATGTAATACACTTAACGTTACCATGTTAAATTTGCAAATAAGTACGTACAACTTATTTACACTTAGGCCCGATTCACACGTGCGTCGTTTTTATGTGTCGGGCGTCGTTCTACGCGCGCGCGCAAGCTGTACGGCACATTTTTCAATCGTATAAACAGGCCTGCCACCGCCGCGCGGCGCCTTATGTCGTTTTTTCTGTGGCACCTTCAGGAGGTGCCACAAGTGCGTCGCGGCACACAGCGGGATGTCTGCGGCGAGGAAAAACATCATGTAAACAGACTTGCGTCGCGCGCAGCTCGCGCAGCCCATTTTTGCATCACAGAGGGTCAAATTTCTTCATTCCCGCGCTAGCCTGAAACCCACGCCACGCTCCTCTGTTTGTATCTATTCATTCCACTTCTGTATCAATTTCTACTTGTTGTTAGTTGTTTCTTCGGATTATTTTGTACGGATTGTTTGCTATTAAAGCATTACTGCTTGTTTGCTGTGAGCATGGCAGAAGTCAACAGATCTAACTGGACCAGCGCTGAAACGCGCTGTTTGATCGGGCTGGGGAACTGTGACAGAATTCAGAGCAAAATGGAAACCTTCAGAGACATTGCCGAGGGCATGAAGCAGGAGGGATACAATAGGACCTCCAAACAAGTCCAGAAGAAGATAAGAGACCTCAAGTACTCGTACCGGAGAATCAGGAATTCGAACAGTCGTAGCGGCAGGTCAGAGTTCACCACATGTGACACCGCGCGACGCAGACCGCCACAGCTGCGACGCGAAGCGGGAGCTGTGGTCCCTGTTTGTAAACGGGAAAGTGTCGTAGGCGACTTGGCGCGCGCGCGCGTCGAACGACGCCCGACACTTTTATTTTTCATCGTGTGAATCGGGCCTTTAAGTCTGACTGGTGCATGTAAATTAAGTGCAGGTAATTTTTAACGTTTAACCTAAGCAGTGCAACTATACAGAAAAATATAAAGTATTGTGAGCCCTGCAGGTATATATAGGAGCCCCAAGATGTGATTTAGATCCCCATACAGAAATAGTAAAATTTTACTAAAAATGTATGTCAAGTTGGAAAAAGAGACAAGAAAAGACCACAAACAGAGACATCACTTCCACGAAGTACATGTAGGTTAGCCTGCCGTGGGTGCCATCCTCCGTAGTCTTCACCCGCTCCCTAATGTTGCTGGCAGTGTAGCCTGTCAGCAACATTAGGGAGGGGGCAAAAACCACATAGGATGGCACCCAGGCTACATGTAGGTTAGATAATGTAGCTTCTTTGCATCAACCACTGTTCTAACTTCCCTGATGTAACATTATAACACGTCAGGTGCTGAAGGCACAAGGCAATCTTAGCGGGGGCTCATGGGCTCACCCTGGGAAATTTTTAATCTTTTACATAATTTTACACAATTTTTAATTTTAAAGTTTTAACACTCAATCAATTAACACTATTTCCTGCATTTTGAGGGCAAATTTTGCTAGTACACGAACCTTAGTTTATTACACACCGATTTTTGTCCATCAAAGATAATATAATATGCATTACAAATTGTGGATTGGACAACATTTTTGCCTTTCACTTCATCATGAGCAGCAAAATTCCACCAAATGACGGAAAGATGGATGCTGGCTAGAAGACTGGCATCAATTATTTACAAACTAACATGCATATTATTGATGACATTATGTGCTTGAGTTTTGCTAATTTTCAAAGCAATATTTTCTTCATCAAAATTATGACATGACAGTTGCATGCATATGTAAAATTTTGTTGTTCTTGTGTCCTTATAATTCAAACGTCTGTTATTACGCTAGACGTGGCTCTTGGTGCTGGGTTTCACTTGGTAACAGTTCCTGATGGTTGACTCTCTAGGTTTTGAGCTTTGGTGTCTAAAAACTACAATTTTTACACGTACAAAAACGGCAAAACCTCCAAGCGCCCCCCTCCCCACACACATTCACAAACGACGACAGAAGAAAACACAGCAGCGCAAAAAGACGTGAAGGATAGAAAGTCCTGATCAACGTACACTTACGCTGTCTTACATAACCGCTCGGTATATCCATCTTCGGGAGAACAGCAAACAGCACACTTTTCTAACGCAAATTTCACATCCACTTCCAGACGGCCTCAGTTTGAAACTGCCACGAAGGCAGCGACACCAAATTACCTGCAGTTCCAAATCAACACGCCAGAGGGCGCGCTTGATGAGTCATCACGCAGTCAACATGGCGTCGGAGCAAACGACGGAGGAACAGTCCGAGCAGAAAATCAGCAAACGCGAGGACTGGAAGAAGAAGAAGGAGCTAGAGGAGGCCCGGAAAGCGGGAACAGCGCCCGCAGAGGTCGACGAGGAGGGAAAGTGAGTACCCAGCCGCTGTTCAGACTACGTTTGACCGGCTTGAAGTTGAAACCTGGGGAGGGCAGCAAATTTTTAGATCTAAAAAAATTCACAAGATTTTTCTTAGTTTACACTCCCCTTATCCTCTCGTTGAATAGACGATTATAAAACTTTGTACGGGAATTAGAACTTGAATAAGTATTGATCATTGTAAAACATTGAACTTTATTCCAACACAACCTGTAACCCTTGTGTTGGAATAAAGTTCAATGTTTTACTTAGTTGCTTACATATTTGCTGTGATCCGCTCAAATTATGCTTAGAAACCTATAGGAAATGAAATGAAACTTGGGCATGGATATAATTTTATTTTTATTAACTTTAAACTTGTTTGTTACTCAGTTACTCAAATTTAGTTGTTGAAATACTTGACAAATATGTGATCGATGTTTCTTACTCTTAGTCTTAAGTCTTATACTAAGTTATAGGTACTGGATCAAAACCCTCTCTGGGACATGATGTCCAGGACTTAACAGAGCAGACCATTAAAATGTTACCTTTCTAGTGTCATATATTACTTCCCGAAAGTTTAGAATCTCAGATTTCTTGTTTGTTCTCATCAGGGACATCAACCCCCACATCCCCCAGTACATCGCGTCGGCTCCCTGGTACTTCTACGGTCGGGACGGAGAGAAGCTCCCCACGCTCAAACATCAGAGACCACAGCCAGAGAAACAACTCTCCTTCAGCGACCCGGACAAATGGTTCAAACGAGGAGTCAAAACAGTACGGAAAATACAAGTTTTGATGTTAAAGCAGGGTTCTCACCAGGTTTTTTTCACAGCATAGGGGTCAGGTACAGAACAACAGAAGGGCAACTTTCGTGGCGCAAGTCGCGTAGTGAGCCTAAAAATTTTGAAACTCATAACCCCCTGAGACACTATTTCTCACTTATTGGGGGACAGATTTTGTAAAGTTAAGGTTTTCCCTTTGCTATAGCTTCAATCTAAAGTTATATTTTCATTTTTTTGCAAGATTTATGAAGGTTTCCCCCCCCAAAAAACACCCCTATGCTGGTTGAAAGACAGCATGGGGGTCCAAATCACAGCATAGGGGGACCAAATCACAGCGTAGGGGGCCCTATGCTCAAAAGGCCGAGAACACTGTAAAGGCATCCAATTGCAATTTCAACTTGCACATGCAAATCTCTCCAAATCCAATGCATGCCTGAGCTGTGATTCAATTATAGCTTATAACAAGTATACCTGTATACATAATGATCAATGCAAAAATTCACAGTAGTGAATCATCAGAATGGATGTGCTTGTAGTGTTTGGCATAGCTATAGTGTTGGTGGAAATTGTGGTCTGACTATGAGTATGAAGACATATGCCGCATACAGCCCTAGTTTGAAGAAATATATCATCATTGTTGCTGCTCACATCTGTCAACAATACGCACCACCACTGAAAAAAAATAAAAGTAAATGTCATTGTGTATACACAAGTAGTATGAAGTCACTCACTCACTCACTCACTCACTCACTCACTCACTCACTCACTCACTCACTCACTCACTCACTCACTCACTCACTCACTCATCTCACTCACTCACTCACTCACTCACTCACTCACTCACTCACTCACTCACTCACTCACTCACTCACTCACTCACTCACTCACTCACTCACTATCCAGGAAGTATGTACATGTAACACTAACAGTGATTTGTTCCATCTTCAGGGCCCTGTTGCTACAAAGTTCCGGAAGGGAGCCTGTCAGAACTGTGGTTCAATGACACACAAGAAGAAAGACTGTTTTGAGGTAAGAATAACAATATGCCGACCAGTCTGATTGTAGTTGTCAGGAAAGAAGTTCTTGAAAGTATTACAGTTTTGGTCATTCAGCCTCTGTACACTTGAAGAAGCCACACAGGTGAAACCGGTTGTGTGACAGGCTGAATAAAAGTTCTAAACGGGAACTATGCAGCTCCAGATGTCTTACTGAGGGACGACTGCATGTGCAAGATGTCTGAGGAATGAATCCCCTCGAAATTATATTACAGTAAATTATATTTACATGCAGAAGAAAAAGATAATGTTCTTGCTCTGTTTCATCTCTGTCTTCTTCTTCCACTTACCTAGATAACAATTTTACATTATGTAGCAAGTGAAACCTAAAGAGTTTTAGGGGCTGGTCAACATACTACCCACACATATTCATAAACATATATATACAGTAATACTGTATATATACATGTATATATATTTATGAATGTGTGTGGGTAAGAATACACAGAGCAACTTACATGTAGTTTGTTGTAAAGGTAAACATTATGCAACTTAGCTTTGCACAAATGCTACCCGAGTTTCTAGTTCTTACACAATGTATATGCTTTTTCGGTACTGTAAAGCTGTTACCGGTAACTTGGTTCAGTCATATGAGATGGCCTAGCATGATCCTGGTTATTCTTGACATTCGCATGTATCTGTATCTGTATAACCGGTATAACCGCCCTTCGGCGTAACACACCAGCTTCGCAGGCACGCGGCGCAGCGGCAGCTGGCTATATTACACCGATCGACTTGTTACACCTAACCCTTGAACATCTAACTCTAGGCATTGTTTAAAGCTATCTAATGACAATGCCCCTACTGTACTTGGTGACAGCATGTGTATGCATCTTGATCTTCCAGAGACCACGTAAGGTCGGAGCAAAGTTCACAGGCGACAAGATTGCGCCCGATGAACACATGCAGCCGGACCTGTCCTTTGACTACGACGGGAAGCGTGACCGCTGGAATGGCTTCAATCCTGAGGAGTACCAAGCTGTGATCGATGAGTACTCCAAAGTAGAAATGGTGAGGAATTTCTATTGTGTGTTGGTCAGTATTACAATGTAGTTGCAATTTGATTCTGCACACCCTCAATTTTAGTGACCGTCTCTTTCAGGAAATAAAAACACTTGTAAATCCAAAGACAAAAATCCTTGTATATGTATTTTTCTCTAGGCTAAACGACAGTTGAAAGAGCAGAAGATGACTGAGGACCTGCTGGCTGGGAAGATCAGTCAAGAGAGGGTAACACACCAATGTTCAATTGATACTAGAAACTCCAGTGTGAGACTAGCAATACACAATAAACAAAACTTATGATAAACAAATTATGACAAGGAACCTACTTTTACCATCTCTAGGGAGTAGGGAGAACTAGACCTCGTGATAAGTCCTAAAATATCATGCAAATATCATGGGTCATGTAAGAACTAGAATCAAATGATATGTTTGGTTATTGTTTGCTATATATCTTTCTTACCTTTCAGAGAGATGAAGACCTTGAGGAAGACAGCATGGTAAGCTATGCCTCCTTGTGCCCCCCTCCCCACCTATAGTAATACACATTATTATACATGTACATGTACTGTAGTTGTCCTTATCAAAGGACGTTACATAGATTTAACATTTTGCACCAAAAATTGAAATATTTTAATTGAAACAATCTTCATGCAATTGTAATTTACTTCCACTTTTCAACATATCTGTACAATTGTCTCACGTTTCTGACATTATATTATCGGTTGGTGCTAAAACAGCCCCCACAAGGCACAATCAGTTTATTTGGGCACCTCCACTTCCTGAATGACACTTATTTGCAATGGAGTAAGGTTGATCCAACTTACTTCGTAAAGAAATGACCAGAAAATCGACTTTTTTATGATCCTAACTGTACATAACGCAGCTTTAAAGACCAAATGACACCAAAAAAAGTCTGTAAAATACATACAAATATCGGAAGTGTACATACAATATAGTCACTTAAAATTTGTTCCAATCATGATGACTGAGAAATTGAGCTTGTATGGCCTTCTAAAAGTGACTTTTTGGACACTCTCTAGCAAGCTTCCCATTCCCATCTCTATTTGCATCTCTGTTTTATTTTACATTTCTGTGCTTTTTTCTGAGCTGACATCACTTGGTGACATCAGCTCAGGAAAAAATGCAGACATGCAAAAATAAAATATACAGATGCAAATGGCTTGCCAGTACTAGCTTGTGCTGACTTTTCCAAGGCAGGGCATTAGAATTTCGAATGTAACAGGAGAACCGTACATATTTATTGTAAATGTGTCTGTTAGCCAGGTAATACTAGTTATGTAAATTACAATCAGCTAAGGTCATATTTTGGTGTCATGAGCACTCTAACATAGTGATGCATACCGGTTCACTGAACTTGGATCCGGACTTGTAAGTCAATGTTTAGGTTCAAGTCCAAAAAAACCTTAAAGTCAAGAACCGAGTCCGGACTTATTACCATAAAAGACCATTTCACATACCCCTTTTCTTTCCAAACCACCTAAAACCCTCCGTAGATTGTAAAATCTTTGCTGCGAAATGAAGAAACATTGCCATCAGGCATCGTAAAGTACTGGCTTCCATGTTATGTGGCCAAAGTTTCACCCAGACAACATTGCAAGGTTGCCAACATTCAATTTTGTATATGCCATGGGTTTAGGTCTGGACTTACAAGTCCGGAACTGAACCTAAACCTCTGGACTTGAATCCAGACCTGAACCTAAAATTGGGTTTAGGTATGCAGCACTACTCTAACATTTACATGTATGGTATACTTTCTCCAGAGAAGAGAGGGAGATAGTGATGAAGAAGATGATGAAGACAAGTACGCTGATAACATCGACATGGCTGGACAGAAGTTTGACTCCAAGAGAAGAATCACAGTGAGGAACCTGCGTATTCGAGAAGACACAGCAAAGGTATTGTTATTTGTTATTTCATCACGATTGTGTGTCTGTGTGTTTGCATGTGTGGTTACAGGGCTCCGGACTGACTTTTTGACTTAGGAGGACTGTGCTCCCAACCCAAAACAATTTGGCGCGCCAAAAAAATCTAGGCGCACCACCAGAAAAATATTGCCCTATCCACGTGATTTAGTTAAGGTTCCCCGCTAAGTTCAACAAGAAAAAATACATGATACAAACTGTACATGCATTTTCTACCTGGAGCTTTTAAAGTAAACCTAAGGAATAACTGTCATTAATATATGAAAATCTAAATCTAAGCTACAAGCGGCTACCCAATCATAATTTCTTAAAGCATTAATGGTGCACAACCCAATTCTTCCACGACAGGGGTCCACTGTAGTCCCTGTTTATTTTGGAGTAAGGGTTTTTTAGTGGTTTTTCTGTGCCAAGCTAATTAGTGTATGAGGGTTGTGGTGTGATCAGCTCAACGTCAATGCCATGAAGTTTTGGGTTAGTTTTGGTCGGCGAATCTTCGCTTCCGGGTATCGCTCCGAGGCCGGGAACGGTGAAGCGTCCTAGGCGGCCTGGCTGATGACGTCACTACCAGGGGCTGTCGACATGCTTTGTTTTTCCTATTGTGCTTTATTGTGCTTTTCCTAGTGTTAGGATTTCTTTTAGAATGAGATATATTTGGCAGTAGAGTACGCGTTTTCTTTCTATATAGGTTGCGTTCTCGGCTAAAATTTCCTTCATGCCGTGCGGCGTCCGTGAAAAAGGCCTCTTAACTATAGGTTCCAATGGGAGCGAGAAACTGGGGTGTGCCCCCTTAAATCCCCAACTAAATCACAGCTAAAACAAACAAGAAAATGTTTTCAGCCAGCACAGTGGGATTTTCAGTTCATTTTTTAGCTTTTAGATTGGCGTATATAATTGGTACTGGTCTCTGGGATTATAATCCACAGGGAAGCACAGTGCTTTATTTTAATAAAAACCAAAGAACCTCTTGTTGGTCTTAATTTTTGATTGGCGCACCATGCTACCATGATTTCAAATAAGGTCACACCAGTCAAAATTCTGGGGCATGTATGACCAAACCAGTCTCTCTCATGAGCCCTGGCTTATTACCTACATGAGAGGGTTGAAGTCTGCCATCACTGATTCCTTTGTGTGGCTTTCCTTGGTACTGCAACAGAACTGTTTTTATTTTGTATCTTATTTTACATCTAACAATGTCACTCTGTGTTTCCAGTATCTGCTGAATCTTGACCCCAACTCAGCGTACTATGACCCCAAAACCCGCTCCATGAGGGAGAACCCGTACAAGAACAAACATCTCGAAGAGTGAGTGTCAGTTTCTTCCTCTTTTTAACAATTATTTCAATTCTTTTTTTTTAATTACCTTCTATCATGCCTTCATGTTAATAATGGACAGGATTGGCTGTTTGTAGTTCGAATAAAAGTCAGTACTGTTGTGTTGTCATTGGCAGGGATTGGGCTGTGTGCGGTCCCAAATAGTACCGGTGATGGTCACATTGGGCAAGTTTGCCGACTTGGGCAAGTCCCTTAATGCTTACCTCAACGGGAAAATGATCAAGACCAAGAAAAAGCAGTCATTATGGCCAGATTGTCGGCTTATAGAAGTGGTTGCTTGGTCAAGTTTGACTGTAGGTTAAAGCAGTTTTCTGTACTAACAAAGGTCTTGTTTTACAGGGTATCCTATGCTGGTGACAACTTTGTCCGTCAGACAGGAGACACTGTGAAGATGGCCCAGGAACAGTGTAAGTGGAACCACCTTTAAGTTCTGTCTTCTCTCAGTTCTGGAGCTCTGATATCTTGTCATGATTGTGTTCTGTTTGAATTGCCACCAGTGACCCCAAATGGAACATGTAAAACAATCACAAAGAGGAATACATCACAATAATGATGAGTTTAGGAAACATGTTTGAACTGCAATTTCACAAACGCAAGAAATTGGACTTACCCAATTTTTCAACAGTGACTGTACAACTCCAGTCCGTGAGCAGTGGCTATGATATGTTTAGCTTACAAAACTTAAAAGAGTTCTATGCCACATGATTATAACATTAATGACCTGTGTCTCGGTGTATATGATGCAATTAGGCCTTGTACGTTGCTTAGTCCAGTGGTTAGCGATCCTGCCTCTGGACTAAGAGGTTGGGAGTTCGAATCCCGGCTGTTGTCGCTCACCCGACATGCACGCTACTGTTTAGGGTCGCAGTCCTTAGGACGGGACGTTAAGGCGCTGTTCATTGTGCTTGCCGGAAAGAGCTAGGGGAATTTCCCCCCGGTACAATGAAACTGTAAATACTGTACATAGCGTCTGTCTTCTCTGTCACGACCAGTGGAAGATTAGCTCTTCAATGAGCTAAACTGGTTCGAGATCACTTTCTTTCTTTCACTTTAAAATGATGTCCTTATTTGCAGTATTTGCCTGGGAGGCATCAGGAAAAGGCACTGATGTGCATCTCCAGGCAGACCCCACCAAGTTGGAACTGTTACACAAGGAGTTCAAGGTCAAGAAGGACGACTACAAACAGAACCAGAAGAGCAGCATCCTCGAAAAGGTATGTTACTTTATCCGAGATGGAGTGAAATATGCTGTATTTGCTCACGAGCAAATGTTGGAATTCTAGTAATATAGATCTGTTATTTGATATTATAACTGGATCGTAAATGTAGGCTAGGCAAGGCTAGATTAGATTCAGAGAAAAATTTGCCTGGGCTTTTTCATTTTTCATATTATGGTAGCATCTATATGATTGAGTGAGACAATAACTGTGTGACATTTGCTTTCTATCCACAGTATGGAGGAGAGGAACATCTAGAAGCTCCACCCAAGCAGCTCCTCCTAGCACAAACTGTAAGTACTGCATCCTCTTCCAAATACATGTACGTACAGTAGTTGTAGTTGACTTATACCAAATACATGTAGTTCTCATTTATTTGTTTGGGAGGACATTCAAGTAGTTTTACATGCTCCTGCATCATTTCATTGTTTGAAGCATGTGTACCTACTAGTATATAAATTGTAATACATGTACCTGTACCTTTACCAGTCCCATAACATTATGTATTAAGAGATTTAGACAAAATAAAACCTTAAATATAACTTAAGGTAACAAAAAATGGTAATTGACTTGTTTAGAGTTATCGGGAGGCGTAGTGGAGCGTCCAACTATGAACCGGGAGACCTGGGTTCGATCCCAAGGACATGTCTGGACATGCCCCCCGACGTTGTGCCCTTGGGAAAGGCACTTTACACGACTTTCCTCACTCCACCCAGGTGTGAATGGGTACCTAACTTCGGTTGGGGAAAGTTGTATTGAGGTCCCCTTGTGGCGCCGAATGGCAGCCACACAGACCCTTACGACAGTTCCACAAAAAGTGTGTGGAGCAAATATGTTACATGTATATGTATCATGTGTATTATGTGATTGCAAACCCTGTGTCAATTCAGGGCTATAAAAAGCTGCTTGTTTGAGGAGGAGTGTGGCCTGTTGTTTTGTCTGTAGGAAGACTATGTGGAGTACTCCAGACATGGTACAGTGCTGAAGGGACAGGAGAAGGCTGTAACCAAGTCCAAGTATGAGGAGGATGTGCTGATCAACAACCACACGGTCAGTGTCTTCTCATTCTCTCTGTGTATCCAGTATGTTACAAAATATAGAACAGGAACTGGCTGATACAAATGTACCTGGGGCGATACGGAAAGCAACACGGTGTATTCCGTATCACCCGAAGTATCAGCCCGACCGTGAGGCGGATTGCCCGACGGCTGGAGGGTGATCTGACTCGTGGGAGGGCTGGGACTGAGGGTGATGCGGAATACACCGTGTTATATTTTATCTATGTCATACCCACTGAGAAAAAAAGACATTTCAGTGCAAAATGTGCCAAAATTTGGTGTATCTAAGCAAAAAGTGTAACGGTGTCAATTCCAACATCTGAATTTAGTGTTTAAAATGTGTTTGAAGATTTGAAAGGAAAGATTCGAACAGTTGGAAGCCCGTGTGATAAAAAAAGAGAACCCCGGGCCGTACTGCTAGTTATCACATGGGCCAGAACACCTGAATCAAACATTGTCGCGGCCCAGGTATGACATAAAACTAGTTATTATACAGGTTGGAAAACCTGTATCAAATGTTAATGCGGCCAAGGTATGACATAAATGCAGGTCTGGACTCAGGACTTGACCATTTTAGTTTCATATTTTGTTTATAACAGTTACTGTACATTGTATTTACTACTAATTGAAAGAAACTAGGAAGTGAAAAACTACTAAGCTTTGGCATGTCTGTCTGTCATTTTTGTTACAGTATATTTTCTGCCAGAGAGTGCTTAGTACTGCTTACTATCAAGGGAGTGAAGACTACTACATGTATTTGTGACTGCCTTGTGTTGTGTTAACCTTTGCAGAAGGAAAACATGTTGCTTGTTTCTTCCTCCGTTCCAAAAACATATGGTCAATGACCTGGACCAGCCTCCTTAACTCTGCATTCAGAATAGTGCTGTGTACCGGTTCACTTGACTGGTTCCAGACTTGTAAAAATGTTTAGGTTCAAGTCCAAAAAAGCTAAAAGTCAAGAACCCAGTCCAGACTTACCGGTATTACAAAAAAAAACATGTCAATACCCCTTTTCTAAATCCAAACCACCTAAAACCTTCTATAGATTGTAAAGTGTGCTGCAAAATGAAGAAAATATTGCCATCGGGCATCGTCAAGTGTCTTCCTCCATGTTGTGTGGCCAAAGTTTTGCCCAAACAACATTGCAAGGTTGCCAACATGCAATTTTGTATATGCCATGGGTTTAGGTCCAGACTTACAAGTCCAGAACTGAACCTAAACCCCTGGACTTGAATCCAGACCTGAACCTAAATGTGGGTTTTGGTACACAGCACTAATTCAGAAACACCAAGAAATAATCTCCGTAATGTATTTCCAGTAGTAGAGTCTGGATTGTCTTGGAATGTTATTTTCCTGGATGTCTAACCTTCATCAATGTTTATTGTCTGTACAGGCCATTTGGGGTTCGTACTGGAGAGATGGCAGGTGGGGATACCGCTGTTGTCACTCCTTTGTCAAGATGTCCTACTGTACGGGAGAGGCAGGGAAACAGGTGGCACAGGTATGGCACTTCCCTTCTACTTTTAGGCCACACCAATTTAATTTGTTGGTTCTCAGATTTTTTCAGAAAAAATATGAAGCGACAGGGCGAAAAAAAAAAATCTAGACGTCCTATTAAAGCCCCAAATGCTACGATAGGTGCCATGAAGTCAACAAAAGGCTGGGTTTAAATAAATATTCAAACAATGAATTTTGAACTTTTAATCAAACCTCTGCATTGATAAATGGAAAAACTGTAACAACTAGAAAGAAGAGGACTTTCCCGAACAGTTTGGGGCTATATATGAGTATTTTCTAGTTGAGAACCAGAATTCTTTTTTTTTTTGCAAATCAGAAAAAAATGAAGAGGTGAATCCGAGTTGACAAAAATATTTGGGTGCACCCACAGAACAAATTGGGTGCACAGCTCCAAATTTGGGTGCACTAAGTTGCACATGCACCCAGTATTTTCTCATATTTTATCATTGCCATTTTTTGTATATAAAGTGTATGATATTTCATGACATTGTACAGTATTTCATGTTTAATGTATGATATTGAAGGTATTTGTATTTCATGTTATTAATGTTCAATATTGTAATCTGTTTTGCATTCTGTATTTATATTGTAATGTTGGGGAGGACAACTTGTAAAGGTGTGAATGCACCTGATGTGGTAAATTCAAATAAACAAGTAAACAAATTTCGAGCCTTGTGTAAACACAGGCTAGCCCCGACCACTGCTGATATTGTCCGGAACACCAGGTTTGTTGCACTTGTAGCTACTATCTTTGTTGAAGTATACATGTACATGTACATTATATATCAAAATTTTGTATTGTAGATGGAGATGGCAGACATGGAACTGCGGACATTTGGAGAAGAAGAAGAAGAAGAGGAGGCACCAAAGTCACTTCTTGAGGTACATGTAACAGTTGTCCTGGTTCTTAAGATGATACTGCACAATGATGGCACAAATTTGTGGCATTTTAAAGACATCCAGATGCAATTTAAGGGTCACGTGGCAAAGTTTGATTTTCGCAGTCAATTTTCTAGGTCATTCTTTTTGTATGAGTTGAGTCAATCCTATCTCATAGCATACTGAACTCTTTAAGCTTGAGGCAAAAAGGTGATGTCACAGTTGCTTGTTTTGTATAATAATAGGCTACATTTAAAGCTATTGGTGGTGCCAAAAAATAAAGAGAAGCCTCACATAGCTCGCTTTGGGGCTATTTCAAAATCTTCAAGTATGAAATGACGACAAAAATGTGCAGTAAAAATGGCAGTAAATGTCAATATCAGAGAGATTTCTTCATCTACAATATTTTTTTTTTTGCATTAGGCCATGTTGATTTGATTATATGGATGACATCCTCCGGGAGCCCCAAAACTGATGCGCGCGTGCGAATAAAAAAAAAGTTTTGCAAAAAAAAGTTCTTTTCATTATGAAATCTACGTGGTCATGAGGGTTGAGCAAATGGCACAGAATATGGTTTGGCGAATAATCTAGTCTTCAAGTTCATTTCTTTACAATTTCGTCTTTTTTCGTTTGATTTTGGCATTCTACGACATTGGTATAGTTTTTATTAATTTTTTTTGTAACTTATGGTATATTTTTGTTCATTTTTCAACTGTTTTGTACGATTTACAGTATGGTTGAAAACTTTTTTTTTTTTGGAAACGGCCGAAAATTCATGCGCGCGCGGATGTCATCCATATAATCAAATCAACATGGCCTTAGATACCTTAGATAGCTTTAGAAATTCCATCCCATTCCTGTTGCACTGCTTCTTAAACTGGAGCTAGGAGAATAGGCTGATGTGTGGATACAATATGACACCAAAATAAGTCTGTAAAATGCATTACAAATATCGGAAGTGTACATACAATATAGTCACTTGAAGTTTGTTCCAATCATGATGACTGAGAAATTGAGCTTGTATGGCCTTCTAAAAGTGAATTTTTGGAGACTCTAGCAAGCTTCCCAATTGCCCACTTCGGGCATCTCTATTTGCATCTCTGTGTTTTATTTTTACATTTCTGTGCTTTTTAAAAATGCAAAAATAAAATGTAGAGATGCAAATCGCCTGCCAGGACTGGCTTGTGCTGACTTTTCCAAGGCTGGGCATTAAAATTTCCAATTTAACAGAACCGTGCATACATGTATTTATTGTAAATGTGTCTGTTAGTCAGGTAATACTAGTTATGTCAACTACAATCAGCTATGGTCATATTTTGGTGTCGTGAGCACTCTAACATGCTGTATTAGATTCTGTAAATGTGACAGGTCTCTAGTAACTTACTACCCCTTCCACTATATATTGTCCACAATGTAACTATGTCATTCCCATAACACAGCAACACCAGGAAGAACTGAAGAAGAACAAGAAGAAGAAGAAAAAGGAGCGCCTGGAGGCTGAGGAGAAAGAGAAGAAAGACAAGGAAAAGAAACTGAAGAAGGTAAGGACAATCATACTTAACATGTAACATATTCAAGTTCATTAAAGGTGACTATTACCATCTTGAAAGTTCATACATTTTCGAAATAGAATAAGGCCACACCAATTTAATTTTTTGGTTCTCGGATTTTTTTAGAAAAAATATGAAGCGACAGGGCGAAAAAAATATTAATAAAAACAGGTCTAGGAATTCTATTATAGCCCCAAATGCTACGATCATAGGAGCCATGAAGTCAACACAAAAGGCTGGGTTAATATTCAAACGATGAATTTTGAACTTATAATCAAACTACTTCATTGATAGATGGAAAAAGTGTAACAACTAGGAGGAAAGGCTAGGAGGAAAGGGACTTTCCTCAACTGTTGGGGGCAAAATATGAGCATTTTTGAGTTGATTCAGAACCAGAATTCTTTTTTTTTTTTGCAAATCAGAGGCGAATCCAAGAACCAACAAATTAAATAGGTGTGGCCTAAATAAACTAAATATTATTTGTTTCCCCTCCAGGCTCTAAAGGCAGAAGAAGAGAGAAACTTGACGTTCCAGGAGATGATGAAGTTGGACGAGCGAAAGCGCCCGTACAACAGCCTGGCCGCCGACTCTCACGAGGTCACGGAGGAGGAGCTGGAAGCCTTCCGCATCAAACGAGCAAACTATGATGACCCCATGAAAAATATGCTGGGGAAATAGAGAACAATTTCAGCCTGGAATCAGACTAATATCTACAAATATCTGTTACATGTATGATATTGAAAGTTCATCTGTGCTGGTAGAAATCATTATGAAGCAAGTTTAAACTGTAATTTCCAACACAACGAATTGGACACCCAAATTTTCGACTGTACAACTGCAAAATACAACCATCCCTCAACAGAGACGGGGGGCGCCACAGACTTTCTGCAACCTATGATCCACTGCTCACGGAGTCACGTGTTATCTGCGTGACGTCACGGAAGCGGTGGATTGCTCAATCCTTGACAAAGACTGGAGTTGTACAGTCGAAAATTTGGGTGAGTCCAATTTGTTGTGTTGGAAATTACAGTTTAAACTTGCTGCATACATGTATAATAGCTAATAAGCCAAGACTTAGTAATAGAAACACCTGTGTGCTCTTCTGGCTACAAGTCTTCACAACTGGCTAAAAGTTGTACAAAATTTAACAGACCTGATGACTATATGCCTACATGTAGGCATACTCTACTTCTTGTTACCTGTATTGTATGTGGATGAGCAGATCACTTCATATGCAACTTTTTTATCTTCTGTGCTTGTCATTGAAATACCTGACTGAGTGTGTATATACATTGTACATTATCTTACCTTTTGTATTGTAGGAGGAAACATCAAGCGAAGTCCACCATTTGACTTAAACTAATCATAGCTCAAGTTAATTATCAAGTTGTGTAATGTGATTTGAAAAAAACATTAAGTTTGTCTTCACCTGGTATAATCCATAATCATGGTAAAGTTTTAACTTTTTTCCAACACAAAAGAGAACTCACCGTGAATTTGTATGTATTTAAAACTAATGTTCATCTGTAATAAACTAGAGTTGTCAACTTCATACCTTCTCCAACAATCATTTCCTCATCACCAAACACACAACACTCTGGCAAACTCTCAAAGCTTCCAAGATACTGTGTATTTATCTTTTGGCACTCTGTCAATAAAAAAATTCTCTTCTATGTTGAGGAAACTCATTATTCTCACCTTCTGCAAACTTCCAAACACTGACCCCAACTCAAAACTTTATACCTACAATGAAACTACAACTGATTTTCCCTCAATGTACAATGTTTATGTTATATAATAAACTACACTTACTTAGTAAAAGCATGAAATAACAAACAGGTAGACCATTGACAATGAAATAGGTTTCAGCCTTTTAATATGACACAAATCATAGGCATATTTCTCATACAAAAATATACAAATATCAGACAAATATACAAAATTTATAAGTATTTCTCAATTGTATTGGCCTTACCAGTGTTAGGCCACACTGATTTAATTTTATGGATAACATCTGCATCCGAATTGATTTTGGCCTGTTCTCAACAACAACAAAAAAAACTCCAAGGCTCTGGCCTGGGCACCCAGTTTACAGAGGCTACACAGAACTCAAGAACTCAGTATATATACAGTGCGGACTCATAAATGCTGCAAAAAGCCAGCATGTCCTGGCTTCTTGTAAAATATCAGTACAACCACAAATTCACAATATTATTCCTGGCACAGATGAACTTAGAGAGCTACAGGTGCCATTGAGAGTGCAGAAGATGAGAAATTTTTTTTCTTCCATAAACTCCATTCTCTTTAATAGGATCAAGGAAGTTCCTAACATTCCTGGGACAGATGAGCTTAGAGAGCTAGAGGTGTCATTGAGAGTGAAGAAGATGAGAAGACAGTTTTTTCTTCCATACTCCTTCTCTTAGGATCAAGGAAATTTCTAGATGAAAGCCTCAAATTCCTAGAAATCGAACTACATTAAATTTTGTACATCACTTTCACATCAACAAGCTTCCTTCTGAAAATATGTTTTTGAAGCCTAACGTAAACAAACATCCAATCTGTCCTCACAGTCACAGTCCATTTACTGTAATCCAAAGCATGTGAGTGGTCCTTACTCAGCCTTGTTTTGTGGTGAAAACTGAAGGCCACACCAATTTAACTTGTTGTTTGTTGGATTTGCCCACTCCATTATTTTTATTTGCCAAAAAAAAAGATTTTAGGTTCTGAATCATCTGCAAAATGCTGTAATGAAAGACATATTTTTACCCGAACAGTTGAAAAAAGTTCTTTTCTTCCTAGTTGTTAAATTTGTTAAAGTTTTTCAATGTAACAATGCAACTTTGTTTCATTCAAAGTTCAAAATCTATTGTTTTAATTATAAACCAGCCTGGTATGTTCATGGCTTATATCATAACATTTCCGGCCCTCGTGGGGTGCCTGTTTTTTTGTTTTTTTTCCCTGTTGCTTCATATTTTTTCTGAAATATCAGCTGCTGAGAAACAACAAATCAAATTGGCGTGGCCTGAAACAAAAGAATTTAAAGACAATTTAAACTAATCATCATCCAACATCCCTTGGTACTTGGCAATCCTCCTCATGCCTCTGGCTCTCTTCCTCCTGGCAATGGTATTGGCCATGCTCCTGAGGGTAGACATCTTCATCAGCCTGCCCCTATCCTGGACTATTCGTGTCTCAAACTCCATCTTGGTGACGGGAACCGTTCCGCTGCGCGGATGGCTGCGAGCCTTCGCGACACGCTTGCCGATACTGTCCCTCAGGAGGGGGAGGATCTGGAGGAACATGAGATACCCGGTGATGGGAGTCAGCCGAGTCACGTCCACCGAACTTGTCTTCAGGAGAGCGGAACTCTCGGCAAACAGTCGCATCCTCAGCTTGTCCGACGCGAGCGGACAGATGGACTCCATGGCGTTGGCAAACTCTCCTTCCACCATCGACCCGGGTTCTTTCCCCGGATGTAAGAACAGCTTGACTTCGGCGTCCTTCATCCTAGGCTCCCGTCCCCTCAGAATGGCGTTCATGATCCACTCTATCACCAGGGTTTTTGAGATCTTGTTCTCGCTGAAGGATTGGTAACTCATGGACACTGTTTCGATCTCGTCCTCGTGCAGGAAGGGGTAGATGCACTCTGCGAAGGCTTCAAAATCGCGGACCTCCTTCCACTCCACGGCTTCAACAAGATCGGCGACCGTCACGATGTATCGCATGGTGGAAGCGTCCAATTGGCCGGCCAGCAGGAGAGCGAACATGTGGACCGTGCGACTGATGTTCACCTGCTGGACCACACCTGTTAAGAAGTCATACATGGCCAGGTAGGTCACCTCGTCATCGAGATATCTCTCCGAGAAGAAGGCGTACAAGGCGTCCACGAAGGACAGAGTGGGCTCGTCATCCATTCCGCAGTCGTCCTGGAAGACCAGCGTGGCGTAGAACTGTTCGATAATGGACAGGACGCGCTCCTGGCTCAGAGGACGGGCGACGGCTCTCGTAATGTTCGAGCGCTTCCTGTAGTCTGCCCAGATCTGCTGCGTCATGTTCTTCATTGTCGACTCATCCTCGCTGCTGTCTCCACTGGGCACGTTTGCCGACGGGGCAACACTTGTCTGCCTCCTGCTGTCTCCCGGTGTCTCTTGGTCCGAGTGCAAGGCGCAGATGCCTTGGTTAGAACTGGCGTTAGATACGCGTCTTGTGGAGCTAACAGAAGCGGCGGATTTCGATTTCCCATTGACGTTAGCCTCTAACGGTGGCGGCACCTGTGCCGTGTCGGGGACTTCAATGTTCACTCTCAGTTTGGGCCGTACCACTTTGATGTGGGTGCAGTTTTTCGGCAGTATGAAGACCTTGTCCTTGGTGGTGACCTTGTGGGGACAAATGACCGTCTTCTCCCCACAGCTGGGGCAGAAGGCGCCCTCCTTGAACTCCTCAAAGTTCCTGCCGAAGTTGGTGGAGAAGTAGAGCATGGAGGAGTACTTGCTGAGGATGTGTTCGTGTGGGGAGAAGGGGTCGTCATTGGCCCCGCTGTCACTGGCCTTCTCCTCCTCATCCAGCCCACTCTGGAGGGACATGGCTGAATCTGGAGAAACGACAAAAACAACAATTTGTCTCAGGTTTTTATGTAACTATCATCATTTGTTCACACTTAAAAAAAATAACAAATACATATTAAACAAGTAAATATAAATGAAACATAACAGTGCAAAGGAGGCCAAAAGCATATTTAATGTGCCTTCATGTGTATAAAGGCTCCCTTCATCACCCTATTTACATGTAACAAACCAATTAATTTACTTATTAATACTAAGTAAACAAAACAAAATAAGTTTGTTAAAAAGTAAATGACCAGTAAGACACCTGTACTCTACTCGACTGGATGTTGGCATCTGTTTATAGCTGAAATTAATGAGATCTCGGCTTGAAATACTTTCTTCTGCATACAAATGTATCTGGTTCACAGGTTCAGGCCTCGAAATTAACCTTTTTAATTCTTCCTATTATCCCAGCACTGACCCCAAAATAAATTTATTGTCCCGCAGTGAGGATGAACTGTACATGTCCCAACCTGTTTTTGGGGATCCAAAGTATTGTATGACAGACTTAAAGTCAACTTTTCCAAATCCAAAAGCCGGGACGTGTAATTGATAAACAAAAGAAGGGCTGACATTCTGATGTTGATGATTATTTTTCTATTGTCCCAAAAATGTCCTAAAGTGACTCCTTTTACTTGTCCCAGCCTAAATTTTAGTGGTCAGTGGCCATTGGACCACCTTTGATTTTGAGCCCTGTGGTCACCGAAACGTCGGCTGAAAAAAAGACTTGGTTGTGAAGGAAGAGTCTCTTTACAGTCACAAATACGGTCGTCTTACCCCTGCCTCTGGACCGCAGCCCTTCCCGCCCAGCCGAGCCTGGCTTGCTGCCCGGCCGACCAGACTTCCTGGCACTGCCGGGGGTCTTGAGTCTCTGCTCCTCCTCCTGAGCCAGCCGGGCCTCCTCCATGGCCTGCAGGTCCTTACTCAGCACGTCTTTGTGCTGCCGGATCAACGCCAGCTCGTTTCCCAACTCTGCTACCGACGCCTGGAACCTCTCCTGGGTACACTGAAGCTATTCAACAAAAGAGGAAGAAAAAGAATACACGTGATGCACTT